AAGAACACATAATGCGAACACTCTTCACATTCTTCAATGAAATTGAAAGGAAAGCAATCCTCCCTAACTCATTCCTGAAAGCAAGTATTACTCTAATACCAAAACCACAGAAAGACACAACCAAAAAAGAGAATTACAGGTCAGTCTCCCTAATGAATATAAATGCAGAAGTCCTCAATAAAATATTGGCAAACAGAATGTAAGAAATCATCAAGACGATTACACACCACTACCAAGTGGGATTCATCCCAGGAATGCAGGGATAATTCAACATACACAAACCAATAAATGTAATCCTCCATAGCAATAGATCCAAAAATAAGAATTACATGATCATTTCTATAGATGCAGCAAAACTTTTGATAATGTCCAACACCTAATCATGGTAAGAACCTTATAGAAAATTGGAATAGATGGTCTTTACCTCAGTATGATGAAATCCACCTATGACAAACCAACTGGCATTATCATATTAAACAACCACAAATTGAAAGCCTTTACCATAAAATCAATAACAAGACAAGGATGTCCATTATCTCCACTTCTATTCAACATGATTCTGGAAATACTATCCAAAGCAATTTGACAAGAGAGAGAAATAAAAGGACTAAGGATAGGAAAAGGGGAAGGTAAATTAGCATTATTTGCAGATGACATGATACTCTACATAGAAGATCCCCAAAACTCCATTGAAAAACTCCTAGGTATAATAAATAAATCTGAATTTATTTATTTATCTGGATACAAAGTAAGCACTAAAAAATCAATAGCATTCCTATACACTAACAACAAAATCACTGAGAGAGAAATAAGAGAAGCCACACTCTTCATAATAGCATCCAAAAAAAAAAAAAAAAAAAGAAATACTTAGAAATCAATCTAACAAAAGAAGTAAAAGATCTATTCAGGAAAAATTATAATACCTTGAAAAAAGAAATTGAAGAGTACCTCAGAAAATGGAGACATTGCTTGTTCATGGATAGGAAGAATAAATATTGTGAAAATGGCCATTCTCCCAAAATTGTTACACAGATTTAATACAATCCCAATCAAAATACCACCTTCATACCTCACAGATTTAGAGAAATCACTCTTAAAATTCATGTGGAACCAGAAGAGATCCTGAATAGCAAAGGCAATTCTGAGCAACAAAGGCAAGGCAGGAGACATCACAATCCCTGACTTGAAGTTATATTACAAAGCCACTGCAATAAAATCAGCATGGTACTGGAATAAAAACAGACCTAAAGATAGACTGGAAGATACAACTACAACTACCAATATACTTAGCCACCTTATCTTTGATAAAGGGGCCAAACACATTCACTGGAAGAACGACAGTCTCTTTAATAAATGGTGCTGGAAAAACTGGCTCTCCATATGCCGAAAACTAAAACTAGACTTATGCCTATCACCACGTACTAAACTAAAGTCCAAATGGATCAAATATCTAAATATTAAAACAGAAACACTAAATATGTTGGAATACAAAGTCAGTAGAAAGCTTGAAGACATAGGAGTAGGTAGAGAATTCATGAACAGAAAACAAACCACAAAAGGAAAACTTTCTAGAATCAATAATGGGGATCACATCTTATTAAAAAGTTTTTGCTAAGATAACAGTATATAGTTTATAGTGATTATAGTGATTTCTTACCATTTATTTTTTAAAATACTGTATTATTACTACCATTTTTTGTTTTGCTTTTTTTCTCTTTAAATAACATTTTTAAAAAAAGTTTTGGCATGTTGAAAGAAATCTCCAGCACAGTGAAAAGAAAACCCACAAATTGGGAAAAAAATCTCACTAAACTATTCCTCAGACAAAGAACTTATGTCTAGAACATATAAAGAATTAAAAAAGTCAGAACCCCGAAATTCAAAGACCCAATCCAAAGACCCGCATCTGAGATGAATACACAATTCTCAGATGAAGAAAAGCAAATGGAAAACAAATACATGAAATAAAGTTCAACACCATTTGTTATGAGAGAAATGCAAATTAACTATCTTACTCCAGAAAGATTCTACCTTACTCTAGAAAGAATAGACAAGATTAAGAAAACTATCAACAACAAATGGTGGAGAGGCTGTGGGGAAAAAGTAACTCTTCTGCACTGTTGGTTAGAGTGCAGACTGGTGCAACTTCTGTGGAGATCAGTCTGTAAGTTCTTCCAAAAGCTGGATTAGAAGTCCCATTTGATACAGCTATTACACTTCTGGGCATATTCCCAGAAGAACTGAAAATATCATACCACTGAGATGTATGTGTACCCATGTTTATAGTAGCACAATTTGTAATAGCCAAATCTTGGAAACAACCTAAGTGTCCATCAACTGAGGAATGGACAAAAAAATTGTGGTATTTTTATACAATGGGGTATTATTCAGCTATAAAGAATGATCACATTGCGATATTTATAAGTAAATGAATGCAACTTGAGACCATACTCATAACTAAAATAAATCAAATTCACATGTGTAAACACCATATAGTCTCCCTAGTATAAGAAATAGTAAGAGTACATAAGATAAAATATCTTCAATAAATACAGTGAAAGGATAAGAATCTGCTCAAAGGGGAATAAATAATATCTCAGGGAAAAGGAGGAAAAAGAAAAAATATCTAAGATTGTATAATCACACTTAGGATAGCTAAGATGGTTGTGCTACAAATTCTACAAGTTCTTGGAACAACACAGTTAACATTCATAAGACTGGAACAATCGTGCATGTTAGTGTCTGGTGATCTGAGGAACTCTTGAAGATCATTATGTAAAATAACAACCCTAGTTATGCTCCTACCACCTTGTTTTGAAGGCCTATATCATCATTGTTTAGGACTCTTTTTGCTATTATTAGTTATTTGCCTTTTTTGTTCATGTTTTTCTAATAATTTGTTTTGTTGTGTTTTGGTTTGGTTTTGGTTTTCTCTCTAATATAGAAAGGATAGGTATAATGTAGAGGCTTATAAATGCGCAGAACTTCTTCTAAACAGTTTATAAGAACTGATTATGTAATGCATGATGAAATTAACAGCTACTTTGAAGACAAAGAGACATTATGGTATCCATCGCTAATTCTGTATTGTCATGCTGTGAAATCCATTAATGCTTTTATTCTTTGTTTAGAGTGGCTTTAGTATGTTTTGTATTGTTTACTTTCAACGTACATGAAGGTATGGACAGCTATATTGAAGAGAATGAGACATTATAGCAGCCATTGTTGATTTCCCTATTGTCTGGTTTTGAAGGCCTAAAATGCCTTCATCACTCTGTTCTGATCAGTTTAATACTATTTTGTTTTGTATGAATTCATTGTGTGTGAAGATATGGACAACTGTTTAGAAGAAAATAAGATACATTATGGTAGCCACTGTTGATCTCCCGTTGTCTTGCTTTGAAATCTGTCACTTACATTGTTTTCTTCTGATATGCTTTGTTCTGTTTTATTGTGTTTAGTTTTACCCTCTTTAAAATAAAAAAAAAAAATGTAACACTAAAATGTAACTATATTCATGTTACTCATAGCTAAGATTTTCTTTAGAAACAGGGATTTTCCAAGGATGTGATTCCTAAAGTCTGAAACTCACCTGTATACATTTGGAGACGGTGGTCAAAGTGGTAACCATTTTTAATTCTATAGCATTGTGTCAATGTGCCTAAAATATCTCTGAGCTAGTGATAACCATGACAGAGAATTATCATAGACACAAATTAAATGAAAAAATATCTTTCAACAATGATATAATTTTTCAGATATTGCCATACTAGTGGAACATTAAAATGTACAAAAATATGTTTAAAAATAAACACAAAAATCAAAACATGGTAAGTTAATGATTTATTTAATTATTCTTTCTTTGTTTAACTCATAGTCATGGGCCTTTTACCATGCAAATTAATTTTCTTCTTCCAAATTGTTTTCCGTAACACACTGACACACTGCAGTTTGCTAAAGGTTATGGTGGTTGACATATTTTTAATCAAAAATATTATTGATTTTCCTGTGTGGAACAGGAAGAGTCAGTCTTGTACTCTTTGGTATTGATGTTAAAAATATAATTATTTTCAAAGGTAATCATAGTATTACCTTTAATCAGCAAGAAAAATCTCTGCACAAGTTTACACAGTGCTAAATTACTTCAAAGTGTAGACATTTCCTTAATTGATAGCTATTTGGAAATTGTGGAAGTTACCCTAAATCCATAACTATACATACCAATGAAGTGCTTCACTGACTAAAAATATCATCTTGAAATGTAATCAGTGACTCTAATCAATTTTTGCAAGGAAAAGTTTGTGATAAGACTTTGAACATCACAGCAGTTGGAATATTGTTTTCCTCACATTCTTAGAAATATAATGTGTATTTATGTGTTTAGAAAAGTAACCATTTAGAGCAGCTTAGAAATATTGATATATACTAGCAGGCCCTTTAAAAAAAACCACTTTTTCACTTGCAATAACTATTTAGTGTGAATAAATTCACTCATGAATTACTTGACTTGAGAATAATAGCTGAAATTCATATTAGCATTAGAAATAGAGGAATTTGTTATATTCAAGTATTATTTGTGATATCTTTTGTTCTAGTACTGGGGATTGAACCAAGGGCATTCGCAGTAATGTGCCATCTTCAGACTCTGACACAGAGTCTGACTAAATCACTAAGGGGCCAGGCCAGATAGAAATTGCAAGTGATCCTCCTGCCTCAGCCTCCTGAAGTGCTCAGATTACACACATGTGTCACCATCCCCAGCCATGTGTGTTGTCTTTTCAGGTAATGTTAGTCTCTAGAACTGTAGGAATGACTTAAGAACTTCCCTAATGGATCAGTTAAGTATAACCTGGAAACCATACAACAGAGAGCTCCACAGACAAGGAGAGTAAGAAGCAGTCTCCCTCGGGCTCCCCCACCCCGATTCTCCACATGAGACCCTTGCGTGGCTCGCAGACACGAAGAGCTCAGCTACTGAAAGGCTGAAATCTCGCACTTACCAACCTCCACTACGCGAGAGCAGTTGTGACCCGTGAAGCCCTCAGGACACTCGCAGGAGAACGACTCCTCCGTCAGCCCCGACAGACAGATGCCCCCATTTTCACATGGGTTGGGGTCGCAGCCGTCACCTAAGGACAAAAGAGACAGCCATTGACAAGGTGCTGGGTGTTTGGTTTGCAGGTCTATGTTGGGGCCCTGGCACTGACACCCCCTGCTTCGCGTTCCCGGACACCAGTTTAGGTTGACGGAGAAGACACCTGAGACCCATGTGAGCCCCTGTGCTTTGAAGATAGAAGGAGCGGAGCAAGGGGAGAATTCAGTGGCCCACTTCATACACTGTGTCTGCAAGCTGCAGGGTCAGGGCGGAGTTCGTTCAGCCATGCAGATGAAATGCTGCCTTACTTGTTAAGAAAGATTAACCCAGATATGCATGGTAGCCTGGTGTCATTACTCATGTTAATAAATACCCAACCCGCAGACCAGGAATTTCTTGTGTCATTTTGCAATTCCTCTCATCACAGCGATGACGTTCATTTCTGAATCCTGCACATCCTGGGTTTATCCTTGTGTTTCGGTTGAAATAATAAGATTTTTAACAGACCTACAGCAGAAAGAAGATTGAAATAGCAACTGAAAATTCCTACTTCCTCCTCTGGAATTTCACCAGCCATGAGACCACTTACAGGCTGCTCTGCGGGAAAGAAATAAGAAGAAACAAGGTGGGTAAGAAAGAATCTGTTAGGAAGAAGTAAGTTGCATGGGAGAAAGACCTGGTATTTGTGTCCTTTGGCACGGGGCAGCAGATGGATGGAGAACGGCAGTGAGAAACGGTGACAGGAAGCCAGGAAGAGGGTCAGCAAAGCTGTATAACCATAAAATCTGGTAAAGCTGTAACCTGAGGGACCTGTGAAACAGTTCAGCTCTTGGGAAGGAACAGAGAAGAGCAACTCCAGCCACTGCAACTAATCAATGATCAAATCTGAAGCTCTGCCAGAAGGACAGAAGGACAACACATATTCCCACAGAGAGGTGGCTGAGAAGCTCTTCCTGAAAACATTTCGGATGATTCATCTGATACAGACACTCAGCAAAAAGACAGCCCTCGGAATCTTGGGGCAGTTTCTGAGTGTCCCCACAGCAGCTAGGACTAAGTCTGGTTGCAGGACTGGCCCTGACAGAACCAAGTATGACTTTTATTACGGGACAAGGGTGGGACTGAGATTCCTAAGAGCCTGTCCAGTTTCCAAGAGAGGTTTACAAGTAAAAGTGCCACCTTTTGACAAAAAGAGGAGGCTTTTCAGAAATTAGAGAAGTATCTTGGCCCCACCTTCCTGCTGCCTTGTATTTCTTAGGGACTGCATTTCCCTGTGACAGACCTCAGATGAATCGTTTCTTTTCTTCTCCGTATTAATCATTTGAAATGTTAAAAAAATGGAAGATAAAACTTTCATGAAATTTATTTTTTAGAAAGTCATTAGCCATACTAAAATGATTGCCAAAAAAAAAAAAAAAAAAAAAAAAAAAAAAAGAGTCCCTTAGCCCTGAGCAGATCTCAGAGAAGAGAGGTATGAATGGATGCATACACGGATGGAGGGATGTGATTACACTTCTGGAACATGGAAATATTTAGCTTGGCACAGCCATGCAGTATTTGGTTGAGAATGGGGGAGAAAGTATAGCTATGCCATATCAAGGAAAATTAGAGAATGGTACTGCAATTTTATGATGAGTTAATCAATGAAAGATTTCAATATGAAATTAAAACTGACATGGTCAGACCTATACACTAGGGCAATCATGACACCATTCCCTAAAGTACCTTTCAATGACAAAGTCTATGATGTGAATTTACTGGAGAAGACTGTCTCTATATGACTAGCTAGCTAGATTGTGCACTGTTACTCCATTTGTGTACCCCTTTTTGTAATTTTTTGGTACACCTTTGCAGTATGGAATAATTGCACTCCTCATGCAGAGCTGGTGCATGCAAGTAATATAATATCTCAATTCATTTTAGTCCCCTTCCTTCTCTGACCCTCTCCCCTCAGCTCTTGGCCCCTTCTAGTGTACAAAAGGTCTATTTCCCTCTTTCCCATTTATGCTTTTTCCTCTATGCCTTGAGCGTCTCCTCTGTGGCAGAGATTGAGGTGAATACTGAACACAGCAACCTCAATAAAGCATTTCTGTACACAGCCTAGTAGGGCAAATAGGAATTGCATTAAATCACCTAGTCATAAGACCAGTGATTACTAAACATGATCAAACCTGAGATTCTAAGGGGAGTCAGGGCTGTGAGGTTTGGGGGACTAGGAATGGTGGTAACATGCCCAAGACTCCATACAGAGGAAATAACATATTCAGAGGGAAAAAGGATCATGGGTCATTCGCCTATAACACTTTAGCTAAATCACAGGAGCTTCTATGGAATAGAGAATGATGAGCTGAGAATAAGGTCATATAAAAAGAGCCTCATATGCACCACCAATATTTTTGGCATCTGTCTTTCAGCACTAAGAAATTATAAAAAGGATTTTAGGTATAGGAAAGCATATATGGTTTGGAACCATTATGGAGGTAGCCTTGTGTTGGAGGAGGCAAAGCTCAGAATAAAAGACTAAAGCTGGCTCAGGATAACATGCCTGTAATCTCAGGAGGCTGAGGCAGGAAAATCACCTTGCATTTGAGACCAGCTTAGGATACAAAGCAAGTTCAAGGCTAGCCTGAATCTATAGCAAGACCTTGACTCAAACAAAAGGAAACAAAACAAAAACATGAACAAGAAAGAACAATGGGCTAATCTTTTGAAGTAGTCCTAGAAAAAAGGAACAAAACAAAAACAAAAAGAAACAAATCTGTGAGCTTACTAGATCTTCACTAAATCTGGCCACAGACAGGGAAACAACCCAGTTGATAAAAGTATGATATGAATGCAGACATGAAATTCTCCCCAAATCACAATGCAAAAGCAAATGAACTCAAAAACAAATGTGTTACTGTAGAGATTTCATGGGGAGTGTTGATAACCAGTTTAAACGTGCGGACCTGCCTCTCTGCTCTTGGTATGTGCATGGCAGCACACACCCCAGCGTCGGAGAACAGTACATTTCCCACACAACGGCGAGAGGAGCTCGACCCACAGACATCTTTCCAATGCCAGTCCTAGTCCCCCATGGTCTCAGTTCTCCCAGGACCTGGTATAACAGCAGTAGCTATAGGGCTAAGGCCACGTTGCACCGATATATTTGCACTGACTAAAGCAATATCCTGGGAGAAACACCAGGCCTGAGTAGGATTCCAGAGGCTCCCTCCGCAGCTTAAGGGCTTGCGTTACACATTCACTCAGAATCAAGAAGCTCTTGCTTGGTCTGACTGGGCCTCTCCTGCAGCCTAGTCCCAACCGTGAGGTGCAGATGTTGGGATCCAGTCCAGGTGCTTTTCATATCTTGTTTGTTGTCTGTCTCGTTATCTCATCTGGTTGACTTCGGACACCTTTTCTAACACCTATGCTGCCCTTTTTAGATGACATTATTCAATGTAGTTAATTTACTACAGTGGGTGTGTGCCTGTGTGTGTGTGTGTGTGTGTGTGTGTGTGTGCACGTGTGTCAGTTATGCAATGCTTCGGTGGTCACAGTGAGACTCAGCTCTGCTCACGTACCATTGCACCCTACAGTAGCAGCTGTCGTTTAGCTGACCTGTTTTTCTCTCCTGCCCTTGCACTTTTTATTCTTCTGTTTTGCTTATGTGTACTCATTTTAAATATCCCATAAAATCTGTGAACATTAACTTTTTAATTGATATAAAATTTACAAGCGTTTATTGTACACAGGATGATGTTGAGAAGTACATATATACACTGTGGAATGACTCAGTCTAGCTAATTAACATAATCATTATCTCACAGAGTTATTTTTGGGGTCAGCACACTGTACATCCACTCAGCATTTTTCATGAATATAAAATTTCCCCAACCAAATCACCGTGTTGCATTTTACCCTATCATGATCATTTATAAAGTCTTTTTTTGAGGAGAAAAAGTTAAGAGATTTGACCAAAATATACTGTGAATCACGATGACATTGTAACAAAACTGATAGGGGACTTGACAAACAGCACAAAGCGTGGATTTCTTCAGCTCTTACTTGCATGGCTGAGAAGAAATGGTCATAAAAGAAAGTGTAATGCCCTTATTTTTTTAAAAAAAAGAGTTGTAATAGCTGGACTTGGTGGTGCATGCCTGCAATCCCAGCACTCAGGAGGATTAGGCAGGAGGATCATTGCAATTTTGGAACCAGCCTACGTTACCCAGTGAGCCTAAGGCCAGCATTAACTGCATAGTGAGAGACTTAGTCTCAAAAAGAAAAAAAGAAGAAGTTCTATATTTTAGAAGTCTGCAGAACATCTAAATTCAAAATGCCTAATAAATCCATTGAGTATTCCGGTAGATACTTCGAAAGCATTTGCTCTAGTTTGTCAAGTAGCAACTTTAATATACAACTTCAGTGAGGAGGGTGAAAGGAACAGATGACAGCAACAGGAAGTCTCTCTGGAACAAAATGACCAGGCACACTAACAGATACCGGAGAAAATCCGGACGATGCTCCAGAAATGAAAAGGCCACTGGTGCCTGACAGTTTCTCCTTCAGTAGACATCTAGTAGGTGCAGTCCAGGAGGTCCGAGTCTGCCTGAGGTGAATAAGGGTCCAACACACAATGATGCCCAATGGGTAACACCAGCAAAGAGCCCAAGTCAGATGCTGGAATGAAGCTAAGCAGGTAGCAAGGTTCCAGAGAGGAAATGCTTGTGAGTGAGAAAATGACTGGGGTGCAGAAAGGGGCAGGAAAAGCTTCCATCTTGTGAGCAAGTCTGCCTGGATGACATGAAACAGAGGAAAGAAACAGTGCGGCAGTAGAAGCTAGAGCCCTGGTCCACCACGCAAGCTGCGGCCAGTCTAGCAGGAGCTGCAGAGCGAGCTTCCTCTCTGAGGAAATCCCTTCAGGAAGAGGACTAGGCACTGTTTTCCTCCCCTGCCTGGTTATTGGCTGGAAGTGGTCCAGGCAGAGAAAGACTCTAAAGTTCAGCTGGCATCCTGATGGTTTCAGCAATCAGAATTACCTGTAGCTGAAAA